TTTTTTTTTTTTTTTTAATTTTCTCATTCTATTGACAATTATAAATGAACAGATCTGTATTTTATTTTTTAATTTCCTCTTTTACAGTCATTATCAACGGCGCGACCGTTGATTACTATATACAAGGATAAAAATGAATCGTCAGGCGAAACAGTTTCTCTGCCCGCTATTTTTAGGGCACCGATTCGTCCTGACTTAGTCAGTTTTGTACACGATCAAATTTGTAAAAACAGCCGGCAGCCGTACTGCGTATCCAAGGAAGCTGGTTAGTGTATATTGTTTTATGTCAATTTCTTTTTTATCTTTTAAAGAACTAATATGCACTTATTAAATGTAGATTTGTTTTGTTAGGTCACCAAACCTCCGCAGAGTCATGGGGTACTGGACGTGCTGTAGCACGTATACCTCGTGTACGTGGAGGTGGTACACACCGCTCTGGCCAAGGTGCATTTGGAAATATGTGCAGAGGTGGACGCATGTTTGCACCAACAAAGCCTTGGAGACGTTGGCATCGTCGAATTAATGTTAACCAGAAAAGATATGCTTTGGTTTCTGCTGTTGCTGCATCCGGTGTCCCAGCCCTCGTACAGTCCAAAGGTAAATAATATTTTCTGAGATAAAATAATCTAACCTTATTTCTTTACAATTGTTTAATGATGAAACATTATGGTCCGTGTTGTTGAATTGACGTTGATTATATATTCATCTTCTGATTTATATAAATAGTCTATTGTACATATTTGCTGTCTGAGTGGGACAATATTTATAGTATTGTTTTTTTATGTTTAGGTCATATGATTCAGGAAGTTCCAGAATTTCCATTGGTAGTATCTGACAATATTCAAGAATATAATAAAACCAAACAAGCTGTTATTTTTCTGAGACGTATCAAGGCATGGAATGATATTCAAAAAGTAAGTATACTTTTGGAAATTGTATATATGCGCACCAAAAAATGTCCACATCTTCATTAAAACTATTTTAATTTAGATGTTCCTATTAGGTGCTAGATAAATACGGTTATTTGGCGTTCTAAACTAGCTGACTTAGTTGCTAGAATGGGGTATTTTTAACCAAACAGATTAAATTGAAATCTATCGGTTTACGAGAAAATAATTACATTTTGTTAATAGGTTTACAAGTCACAACGTTTCCGCGCTGGCAAAGGTAAAATGCGTAATCGTAGACGCATTCAACGTCGTGGACCTCTGATCGTATATGGTCAGGACCAAGTATGTGAATAAACGATTGTCAGTTATCATATTTTTCGAATTTAAGGTGTCAATGATGATTTTTAACATATGTCTTAGGGCATTCGTAAGGCGTTCCGTAATATTCCTGGTGTCGATCTTATGAACATTAACAAAATGAACCTGCTTAAATTAGCACCTGGTGGTCACGTTGGACGTTTCGTAATCTGGACAAAATCCGCTTTTGAAAAATTAGATGATCTTTACGGGACCTGGCGCAAAGAATCCCAACTTAAAGCCGACTACAACTTACCGTATCCAAAAATGGCGAACACGGATTTGTCGAGACTTTTGAAATCTGAAGAAATCCGTAAAGTTCTGAGAGCACCAAGGTATGTAGATTTATATTATATTATATACTTTCAACAATCTGTTATCTATCTTATTCGTGATGAAACTTTATGGTCCGTGTTTTTGATTGAAAGTGATACAATCCTTAACCATATCTGATGAATAATCTTTATAAATTTTTTCATCGTCATATCGTTTATAATGTATTTGCTAAAAATGAATTTTGAATTTCCAGGAAAAAGGTGATCCGCCGAGTCAAGAAATTGAATCCATTGTCCAACACACGTGCTATGTTACGTCTCAATCCATATGCAGCTGTTCTGAAACGTGCAGCAGTTTTGACGGCGAAAAAACGTCAGCAGGAAAGGGAGCTTCTTCTAGCGGAGAAACGCGGAGTAAGTTTATTTTTCAATGCTGAATAATACTCGTTTAATGTGTTCAGCTTTTGACGAAAATATTTCATATTTGTAGGTGAAACTGCCCAAGAATACACCTGCTGTGAAGACCAAGTTACTCCTGGAAAGACGCAGGAAACAAATCCTGGCCGCGAGGGCAGCGAAACCGAAGAAGACGACGAGCGGGAAGAAGGCAGCAACAACTGTTACTCCAGCGAAATCCGCGAAGCCTGCAAAGCCAACTGAAAAAACTGCAGCAAAAGAAACCGCTGCTAAGAAGTAATCAATTTTTATCAACGTTTGTTGTTGACCCATGAATTTTGCTTCAAATAAAATGTGGGAAGACAACTACAAAAAGATGAATTTTGTAATTGACGCAATCTTACACATATCTCCTACCTTTGATGCTCTTTTATTTCTTTAGGTAAAGATATATAAACAACATATATATATATACACGATGCACAAGTACACATGATACTATATATGTTTCTTTTTAACAGGAGCACGCATAAGAATCGTGTCATTAACTATTTCGATTGATACCTCTTTCGCATCTGCTTCAGGCGGTATTAAAAAGTTTATATTTCTAACATTCGATATTTCTTCTGAACTATGTAATTTTATGTTCAACATATTTTCAGTTGCTAGTGTAGCTGTTCCTACTTTTAATCCTTCTGTCTTCATTTCTGCCTGTAAGTGGGTAATGACACGTTAACTAGTACATCGGTTGAACCATTTAAAACAGGCATACAGCGTAATATTCTTTATCATCGAAAACGTAAAAGTTCGGAATCTTTATGAAATTAAAGCTCATCTTATGCCCATTCATTGTCATCATCTCAAAGTTCATATAATCATTTTGCTTTAAGGTGACTGAGTTTTCTTGACAATGATGCGGTAGTTTATCCATAATCATCTAACGTATGTAAGAAGTTACGAAAAAATTTGATCTAAATCATTTTCACTGGTTAGTTACACGAAGTAAACAGAGAAATATCGACATTGAACGCTCGTCTTTTATCTTGTCGAATTTGTCACTTGGATTGCTCATAGCTTCATGAGAGAAAGGTAAATTATCTGAACTTCCTCCTCAACTTTTCCCAATTTATTTTCTCGTTTTGCTAGATTTTATTGCAGGAGGAGCCGTGAGCACGAGCATCCTGTTTACATTGTCCACAATGGCTCGAACCTTCGCATTATCGATACCTTCTGGTATTAATAAATTTTCGCAATGTTTCATCACTCTTTTGATCAAATTGCCAAAAACTGATCTCTCGCTGATATCGGGTAACTGTTTCGCGAATTGTTCCTCTAAAGGCTTCGACATGTTTACGCGAAGATTATTCCCTTTTACGGTTATTTTAATTGAAGACAAGTCTACTTCTGGCCCCAACAATATTTTCGTCTATAATAACGATATTGATAAATGCGTCGTTGATTTAATTTTTAATTCCATTTAAAAATTCTAATTTTACGAATGATATCTAAACCTCGTAAACGCTGTCTGGTCGAATTCCACTGGACACGATTTGCGTTACATAATTGATTTCCATTGGTTTCACGGGAACCTTGGTCAACTCTTGTTTAGCAACCTTGCTTCCGGCAGAGCTCGACATTTTGAGAAAATTGAGCGAAGTTGAACATTTAGGACAGTGTTTACTATCAATTGTTACATCTCCATTATACTTTGAGCATCGACTTTTCTTTGTATTCATCTTTCAGACATTTTGAAGATACATCATATTGTGTGCGTCACATCGAACTCGCGCCTACGAAAGACAGTTCGAACGGTGCATCGAAAAATGCGATAAAAAATTTTCCACGATATGGTTAATCGAATTTTATCGAGTGATAAAATTCTGAGATTAAAATACTATACGTGCTGAAGCGATAGGTTTACCCGTCAATTTGGAGCGTGCCGAACTGACATGCGAGAATCAATGGATAACAAAAGAGCATGGGCACGTTCCGTTTTAAATTGCCAAATTTCAACTATGTTTTTCTTTCAAACTACCATCGATAGAATATTAAAATGTAAGAGGAAAGTATCCTTTCAAATTCCCTTTAACCCTGTTGTGACTCTCGAATTTGTACGTTTCAAATTTTTTTTTTTTACTTCAATCGGCAAAGTAATTTCGAACATTTTAACAAAATTTTCAACAGAGTAGTTTAATCTGTAATAATCATTTTTCCACTTTTCGAAAAACTTTCCAACATTCGAACGATAGAACATTTCACTTCACCTATATATTTCCTCATTAGGGAAATACATATCGAGGCATGAGATTGCACACGCGATAACGTAAATTTAATTTCCGTTGGCGATAGATTTTCGAGAATTGAAGTATTCGTCAACGAAACAAAACAAAACACACAGTCGGGAAAATTGAAATTCCAAAGAAAACGCAACAGGGTTAATACCAGTTTTCAATGGAGATCTGATTTTATTCTGATTCTTGCAATAATGCAGGATTAAATATCAAGGCTAAATTGGTCGTGGATAACGAGCTGATAGCGATTGGCTGTGTAATTTGGAGCGAATGTCCCGTTTAATTTCATCATCGCGGTTAATTGCGGTCTGCTAATCGAACGAAATATATAATCGACGGAAGTTTGGGAGGTTCGAGTGTGCGAACGCAACGGGAGGATCAGCATGGTTCCAACCTTGTACAAGCAGCCAGTTTGTTTAACATTCGTGTCTGCATTGTTTGAAACGCCTGCGCGAATTTCCTCGGGAATGGACGTGGCAGTGGTAGGGGTAGCGCGGGATTCAGGGTCGAAATTGCACGGTGGTTGAAAAGCATCGGACATCAGTCGAGGACAGGCGGTCTCGCGTTTAAGTGGTCTATCAATTCCATGTCGCCTTTGGTCCTGTTCTTTCATTACGGAGTTCTGGCCATCATTTTCGGGAACGGTGAGTCGTTTCTCTTCTCTTCCTTCCCGTGTACGTTCAGTTCACGGATGCTTTCTTCCCTCCCAGAATTTTACGAATATTCAATATTTAAGTAAAAGTTTAGATTTAATTTCGATCGTTTTTTATTTCCGAAAAAGAAAAGAGAGGAATCGAGAAAGAAAAGTAATTATAAATACTATGTAGATATCTCTTACACTTTTATCGAGTTTCTCTTTTAAAAAATTATTCCGAATTAAATGTTGATCCCCTGTTTTTCTTCAAGTTTTAAAGAAGACTTAAGAAAATTGACTTGTCACGGAATTAAATGTCGATTCAGCATGTGAATTTTCTATTAGTAAGTTTAGAGTATATCGTTGCATACCGATGAATTGATAAGAAAAGATCCAGTCTTCCAATTGAATCTGAGAGTTCATTATCGGACAAAGTTGCCTCACGGTAAGGACAAATAGATCCGAGAGGGAAGTAATAATCTCGTTTGCATATGGAATTCAATCTCGGTGCGTAGCCTAACATCGAGAGGAAAATACCGATTAAGAACGCCGGTCCCGTGATTAAGGCCAATTTCTTCCGATAACTGAATTGCTTTCCCCTACAAGATTTCCCTGGTAGAAATTTACCAAGCGCCGATTGATCTATAAACGAGTTTTTGCCTTCGAAAATTTTTCTCGCTCGCCTCTGAACAAGAACACGCCGAAATATCTATCGTCCCTCGAATCGAACCAATTTCTTTCGGTCCTCGA